AACATCAAAAGCAAGTCTTATCTTCTCCTGGTTTTTGAGTGAAGAAACGTCTTCAATATTTCCATTTGCTGAAGGAAACGGCATTCTATTCGCATGCAGATAATCCAAAAGGCATCCGTTCTCAGCGAACTCGACGATCACGTACAATGGGCCGTCTGTGGCGAATAAAAAAATACAGAAAATGAGTTTTAATTGTAATCAAGTCTGTTTCTCGTTTACTACAGCGTTTTGTTGGAACAGACGCGAGGGAGGACCAAACAAGAGAGGGTAGAACTAGGGTTGTAGTCCATAAATCAAGGTTGCGCTTGCAGAGACTGAACATTGCAGCATCACTGCATTGGGGCCTGGATAATTGCAGGCAAGGGAGTAAAACGAGGGTTTTGGAATACAAAAAATGACTGACAAGAATAGAGATAGAAGTACTACGGTATGATGCTTACATGACTAGTGTACTACAAAGAATGGTGGCGCTACTCTGATTCAAATAGAACCCAAATATATTATCTTCGATTTCGTACGATACGGGTTAACGACTTCCACTGCGCCTATCACAGCACGCGAGATTACTTCTCTTCCAATCAAAATGCTCTGACATGGCATAGTTACGGTCACGGCACGACATATATAACAAAACTAGTACTGTATCTTGAACCTCACCAAAAAATGTTTTTAGAATATATTGATACCTTTTCCTGTGCATGCTCCTAAAAGGTTGACAATATTAGGATGTTCGTCTACTGATACCATGATTTCTAGCTCGTTGAACAAATCACGAGTTGCCTCCTGAGACGCGTTCGCTTGAAGAAAAAGATGAAATATAATTACACAAAATCACACATTGAAAAAGTAAAAAAAAAAACATCATCCAATCAGGTTTTTAGGCTGTGCTTGCACTCAACAGTAGTGACTTTTTCTTTAAAAACACAAATCTAGCAAAGTGTTGGGGTTTTTTTAATTTTCTTCCCCGTACATTATACCGGTTCATATCCACTCCACCATAGGACTGATRTATATATTTATTACAAAACAGTCTGTTCCATTGATTTTGACAAGGGAGAGAGAGAATAAACAACATATTAGAAAAGCTTAACTGAAGAACTAGGAGAAAAACTACACGCCTAGGGAGAGAACAACACATCAAACAAACTCAACTAACATATATGGTTGCTCAAGCTTGAACTATACAGCGGTGAGAGAAAACGCCGTATACGTAGCAGCGCATGCTACTTGTAGCACCATAGTTATATTTAAAGGGCACTTGGATGAAAATCGACGAAAATTGTAAATGAGGTAAACCTATGTATATGGCCCCAATAGTAGCCAAGCAACATATTTTCTTGACAGTCAAAAGTGGGGTATGAAAAATATCAGGTTTATTCAGCAACTAAATTGTTAGTAAGTGACGTCATTTACTCAACCCTATTTTTGCTTTTAAACCAGAATATCTCAACAGCAAGTGGCTCCCAGGCTAAAATTTTCACTAATCTGATTTTCATAATCATAATTGAGTCATATTATCCTCAATTACTTCAGTTATTTGGACTTTCAAATTGGGGCGTTTTCATCCAAGTGCCTCTTTAAAGTTATTCCTACCTTAATACACCCCTTTCACTGAGTCCCAAGAGGAATTGTTTTGGGGGACTAAACAATGGATGCTTTTGCATAAGAAAAGACGAAATCAATACWAGGGGTCTGTTTGTTGTCGTTCACTTACGTTTTAACATTTTGACAGCGCATGGTACAACTTCATCTTCTCCCTTCTCCTTCAAGAATCCCTTGTACACCACACCAAACTGACCAGAGCCAAGTTCTTTATCAAGAACAAGTTTGTCACGTGGTATTTCTTTCCATCGCTGGGGAAGTTCTATGGTTTCCATGACATCATCTTCTTCGTTTATTTTTTTCTCTTTGATTAGAAGTTCTTTATGCTGATGAATTTAGGACAAACCTTGTTATATGTTTTTATAGCTTGCACATAATGCTTTCCCATTTCAGAACGCATCATCTAGGTTTTCCAGAGAAAAATCATCTGGAATTAAGTGTGAGAACTAACTCTACACGTCCAACAATCGAGCCTCACAATCAAGCAAAACAAAAAGATGGTTTTGCACCATCACGTGACGGCAGCCATGTTAGATGGCAGGAACAATACAATCGTTTTACATAAGAAAGAATTTTATTCCCAAGAGCAAAGGGATCTATTTACTGTTCTGCCATCTTACCACGGGCAGCCCAACCTKTATTATGGCCGTGGGCACGTTATGGTGCAAAGCCTTTACTTTACGCAGAATCGCGCACAGCCAAACCACCTACATTAGCGCGGTTTCTATGAGAAAAAACGTAACTTTAAATTTGATAAGAGGTCATCAAAAAGAAGGTAATAATCATATACTATATCCAAGTTCCTACCCGATTTTTGTCCATCATCTCACGACGCTTCTTATTCCGAAGACGCCGTCTTCGTAGATAGAAAAGCACGATGATAATAATAATRAGAACGATGATGAGGAGTGGAATGAACACTTTTGCAAATGTCTCCCAAAAAGCTGCAAACAGAAAAGACAATTAAGTCAAAAAACTCAGACTTGTTTTGAAGGGATTAACAAAACTCGTGCCCAGATTGGTTTGGATTGGTTTACAGGGCCCAGTTGTTCAAAGCCTGATTAGTGCTAATCCTGGGTTAACTCTTAATAAGACCTATAGAGTTAATCCTGGATTAGCGCTAATCCAGCTTTGAACAACTCGGCCCAGAACTTTAATGACTGGATAGAATTTTGGTGACCCATTAAGCTCGATTTTAATTATTTTAAGTAATGATTCAGTAATTGGTTTATATTTTCAGGTAATAAAAGTCTAATTTTTTAAGTCCAAATTTTTTAGGTAAAGAGGAGTATTAGCTACTCACAGTCTACTTACCAGATAAGGTTTGTGTTTCAACTACATTGCTAGGTAACCCTTCCCCCAGGTGATTGACGGCATGAGTCTGGATAGAATACCTGGTACCAGCCTCCAGATCTTCCAGGAGGTACCTGTTAACATGTTTACCATTCAATTGTATCTCCTGCCAAGAATTGCCGAACACTTTGTATTTGATGACGTAATGTTTGACGTCATAGTTGTCGTGAAAGAGAGGATGTTTCCATTCTATTGCCATTTGTCTTTTTTTGATGTTTACAGCAGTTAGGTTTCTTGGTGATGGAGGTTTTACTGATGATAATAAGATATAGTTAGTTTTCGACTGACTCTAAAGATAAGAACGGAATCTAAGGGTAGGTTAGCAGTAGTGCGCTCGCTTGTCATCTCTGGGATCTCGGGTTTCMTCCCTTTATTCCCACATCATATGCGATTAGAGTGTTTTTGATCTCTTTATTCAAGGGAAATTAAGAGTGGGTTAGCAGTAGTGCAATCGTCTCTCACCTCTGGTGTGTCGGGTTCCATTTTGTTATTATTTCTTTTCTCATTTCTCTGATTTTTGATCCCATTCACTTATTCTCTTTTCGTTTACTCGTACACCTTGGACCCATGAAAACCCAAGAATCAAATTCATACTAGTTGCTAATGATTCAGACAAGGATTTCAAACAATTATGATGATGATTTCAAAAAATTCTAATGATTTCAAAAAAATATATTTCAATCGCAGAATGGACCCCTTTCAAAATTATGCAAAGCTACTAACATGAAATACAAAAGAAATCACACTTTTTCTTGATGRAATCTGTGCAAGTTCTTTTGTATCTTCCTGTTAGCCTTCAAGAAGATGGGTTTTTCATCTTACCCAATGGTTTAACGGACTCAGGTTTAATCTTCAACGTGCCCACCACACCCTGAGTTTCCACGACTCTGCGCACCACGACATTTGCAATGCGCACTTTTGTATCCGGAGGAGGCTTGTCTTCAGGTTTCTGGACTTTTACTTTGAAAATGACACGAAATCGAACGGCCACACTTCCGTTTCTGTTCATAAAACGAATGTAAAATATAGAAAATATTATTTTTGATTTCAAAACTATTCATCTTTCATATGTTAGTTCGTTTGTTGGGTAGGGTCATTAGTCGGTCTGTCAGGCTTATTCGGTCGTTTCGTTTCATTAAACTCACCTGAATCCTAAGACTTCAACTCTCTCGAACCCTGTTTCATTTATGTAGAYTTTAGTCAGCTGAAAAATTAAAAATAGTCACAATTTTCATTTATACTCATTTATAGCACCACAAAACAGCTACAACGACAAACAAACAACAAGAGCAAAACAAACGGAAAAAGCAAAGAATAGATGCCATTTTTAAAGCATCCAATAATTACCTCTTCCACAAATATGGCTGATAAATTTCGGTATTTTTCTGAAGACGTATCCTTTAGTTCATCAGAGAATGTTTGATCTTGAAGAGTGACATCCATATCGATCTTGATCGGTACTGAAAACATATATCGAGATTTTCGTTACTCTTCATTTATCAGAATTTTCCCACATCATATTCCATGGACGTTGGTCTTTGAGTATGTCATTCTAGAGCATTATTTCTATTTGTCCTTTCTTAGTCACCATCAACAACAACAACAAATGAAAAAACAACAACAACAAACAAAAAAAGAAACAAATGAAATAGCGTCTTTATTTTTCCATCACCCACCACATTTAGTTGCAATCAAAATATCATTTTAGGCCCACGTGTCATTCCCTTGAGTATCATTTCTTTGCTTAACAGTTAAGCACGAGAAGACACATTAATATGGATACGACACAAACAACTAATTTTATTGATAAGAACAGGTTAATAATCTTATTCTCAAGTAAACGTGGTCTGAAATGGGAAAAGATTATGGTTCGGACTCAGACGTTAGGGACTTTAAGATTTGCAAAAATCTGCGCCGGCGACGTCTACCGGAAGTGTAAATAACTTCACTTTGGGGTTTCGTGCCTTCAAAATCTGTCTTCACTGTATTACCAGAGATATAGTTACATAATCAAAGTCATGTCAATCACGTAACAGAGTTGACTTTACTGACAGTGTCTTGAATAAAATTTCCAATGAACAGAACCTCAAAGAGAAATTATTTACACTTCCGGTTGACTTCGTCGTCGTAGATTTTGCAAATCTTAAAGGCCCTAATAGAGAACCAATCACCGTTGCAGCAGTTTTCCCAGTGGAATACGAATCTTGTCCCACAAACTACCCAGTATTTTAGTACTACAAGGATTACGAAGCAATTTACTCTTATATTTAAAAGACATTAAACGATTGAAACCATTTAGGAATAATTTTCCGCGATCAGAAATTTAAACTCTGAGATATTCTAGCTAAATCGTTAAGCTTGTGGGACATAGCAACCGTAATTAAGGAGTGTCGGAACCATGAATTAAGAGAATGCGCCAAAGTCCTTATTATTCCATGACTTACCATCAACGACGAGTCGTACATCAGCCTGGACAGATTTCTGCCTGTTTGTGGCCTCACAAGCATAAAACCCCGAATCATCAGTTGTCACAGATATGATAGTCAACTCTGCCATGACTACTTTTTTGTCGTCAGAAACTTTTTCTTTCGTCTGCAACTCCACACCATTCTTTAGCATTCTAACTGTTGGAGTGATTTCACTGGATGCAACGCATCTTATCGTCACGTTGCCTTCAGCGACCGCTGTAAAGTTTTCTCCCCCATTGATAATATCRAGAGAAGCTGAGAAAAATACGAAACAGGAAAAAAGTTTGAATAAGTTATAACCAAAAC